ACTTATTTCAGATCCAATAAGTAGCATATTATTATTTTTGCATAACGACGTACGTAATGTCAAGATATTTGCAAGAATGACGTAAAAAATCAAAAGACGTCTGAATCAGTGGAAATGTGAGTTTTTATTTTATATGAAATCTATAAAACGAATGTCACATTTTGTTAAGCACGTAACTTAGAGAGTTTTACAAGTAAACATGAAAACAAGATTTATTAGACTGACATAATATCTAAATTGGCGATATCTTCACTCCATGTGTTTATCCTTGGTGACGTCACAATGCATGCGACGCCAGTAAGTTGTGTTGTCTCGACTGAATCTTCAGCCAATCACAACTCTGCTAAGTGTTACTATACATGTAATCATAACACAGTATATTTAGTGGATATGAATCCAATAGTATACACATTGGTTTGTTACATACATTGGCTTACTGGTAGCGGTCAATGGACGGATCATGTACTTCTGCCGTGAAAATATCTGGCTTATAGACAATCGACACAAACAGACAGTAAACCATCATCATCAACAATAGTATTCCTTGATTATCTGTATAATATTATGTACATACAATTTAGCTACACGATGAATCTTAGTGTGTATAATGTTGCCATTTTATATAGTTATATATCGTTACTCCTGAATTGTATCCGGAAATATTATGTAGTAGTAGACTCATTTTTAAGATATATCTGCAGAGGCTGTTAAAAACTGGTTTCATAACCTTGATATGAAATTGAAACTTCTCTGAGATTCACTAGACAGTGATACGTCTACAGGTCTGTTTTATGTGATAAAGAGAACCTAAAATTTTATCTTTTAAACAAATTCTGATCTGAGATCATTTCAGATTTACAAAGGTTCACTATTTAACAATTATAGACTTTAAAAGTATGAACAAATGAGAAGGATGAGATAAGTATATGGGATTATTATTCGAACTTATATGTGCTGAATAAGGGTATTTGTACATTGTTATAATGACGTCATTTAGTTTGTTATGTCCGTTTTATTTTATTTTGATTTTTTATGTCACTTTGTGATTTAAATCTAGATCTTTTAACAGTGCAAGTTATCCCGAAAACCTGAAAGGCCCTAAATTTAGATTATATCTCCTATACCCATTTTCATCAAAGCATTTCAGATGTGACGGATAGTAAGGATTCTACGACACAAATCCCATGGACTTGTGTGGTGATGGTGGAAGTGTGCGCGCATTGTACAGTGATGAGTAAAAACATTTCAACAGCTCGACTTCATATGTTTACAATTTTCAAAACAGTACCTGTCCAGTTGTGTGTATTGTAAATAAATTCATTTCAAAGTTTTAAAATTTTAATGTTTTTTTTTATAGCAAAAAGTAATAAATTCTTAGTTTGAACTTAAAACTAATGAAAGGATGGCCAAATGTGAGTACATAATTTAGAAGGAAACCGTTGAAAAATTGCATGAAGAATAAGACCAAATGTACCGCAAGGGTAAGTGTCCTCTGCTTCGACGACGTCAACGCAATGTATATCCTTGTCAGGTTAATATTTTTCATTTTAATGTCAAGTTCTCAAATGAGAATAATGTTTTATTTAACAACGAAACAACAGGGCACAGTAACGTGCATCGCATAAACCTATATATTCTTTTAGCATAAGGAAATAGTGTAATCCTTTCGTGATTATTGAGGCGATTATAAAACTTTCCCAAAGTCTTCTACCTGCTATCTCCCGAAATACTATGCTCTAGTTTGGTTCTTAGCTGATCTCTCACAAAAATCGTGATATTGGGAAAATATGGAGAACTGCAAACATAGTTTGAGAAAACAGGATTGTCACTCTATCAAGAAATAGAAAAGTCATAATAAGGAAAAATGGTAGCGCTTTTTATCTTGCCACCTGAAAAGTGTCTCTAATGGTTTCTGTGTTGAAAAAGGTCTATTCTAGCGACTGATGGAAAAGAGTCTGTGTCCTTGATTTCCAATTCTGTTTGGTGTAAGATGGACATGATCATTTAAAATGTTATTGTTTAATTAAAACTTGTTGTCCACTGTATATTAGAAATTGAAAATTGAGAAATTATGTCAAAACATTTTTCTTCTCAACCATTGTCTAAATTGTAAGGTCAATGAATTAATAAATTCCATTCAGCTTTAAATCAATGTTATTTCAATTATGTAAGACATCTTATATAGTATATCTTATTTGGAGATATAAGAAATCTCAGATACTATAATAAAGGAACAATATTTTGCCAAATTGTCAAGTTTCTCGAGCACTCTCACAAGATGATCGAGTGTCTTTGGACAAATTATGGCGATCTTTCAAATAATGTTAATTGTATAAAATATGTCAGATGATATATGACATATGCGTAAACATTTGACATTTCAAACTTCTTTTCAAGTTCCACTGGTGGAATTGAGCTCCAACTTGCAGAAATGATCCCGAGGTGGTCTTGACCAAGTGTTGTTATTTTTCGGGTATGTCTGAAATCCAAGATGGCCGCCATGGCCGTCATCTTGAGAAACATATTTTAAACTTCTTCTCCGGTTCCACTGATGCCATTGAGCTAAAATCGGTGGGAACGTTAATGAAAGGTAACAAAGAAAGTGTTGTTATTTTTCGACCTTGTCAAAAATTCGATACGGCAGCCAGGGAGGTAATTTTGTAACATGGTTGCCAACCATGGTTTTCCTGTGCAACATCTATTTCAAACATCTCAAGTTTCACCAGGTGGATTGTGCTGCACCTTTACTGTCAAAAAATAGGTAACACTTGTCACAGTTACCTACTCCTCACCAAAACTACCATCCGCATCATGGAAAACTGCTTTTTCAGTAGGATCTCATTCAAAGTAAAAAAAATAACCCTTACCCTGCTGAAAGTTTTTGTAGTCAGATGATCGTTAAGGCCCATGGCCCCTTGTTTAGATATATATAATACTACACAAGATAGACATCGCATATGAAATGTTAAGTAATCTTGCCACAAATTCTACTTTCTCTTTTTATGTTTTCCTACCTACAGGCTTCACTTGATTTCCAGTGCGATAAAACTCTATGCTAATATCCCACAATTTGCAACAGTGTAATCTGCAGGATATGAAACATGAGTTTAAAGCTATCGCTTTGACAAACATATATAAACAGCTCATGCTAGCAAAAAGATATATACTAATTTATACCCAGAAGGTTCAGTAACAAATATACAGGTGACACAAAAGCACTCGTGTTCCCGTGTAAATCTTGTCGTGATATTGCTCAAAAAATGACCTGTGTTGAAATTTCACTTTCTCTTAAAATATATTGACTCGTTATTCAGGAGGCCTCGGTATTATGAATTTCCGTTGATGAAGAGAAGAAATGACAATAAGTGGCTGTAGTCAGTGTATTACGGCGAGCCTCGTATAACGTAAACCCATCAATGTAATTACGTGTTATTCTGTTCAAGAGAAAGTAAAGTTTTAACAATGTAATTTCCGAACGTTATCGCGCCAAAATGTCATGTTATCACATACCACCATACTATCGTGGCAAAAGGTGCTGTGTTAATTACGTGACTCTTTGTCGCGATAAATTATGACAGTCCACCATAGATAGGGATAGATAGGCAACTGATGATTTCTGATGCTCCTTTGTCTACTATATGTAAGTTTGTGATATAGTATAGAAAATGGCACATAAAATCAAGCTCAAAATACGGCTAAAAGCAACAACTTTACAGCGAGAAAAACAATCAACGAAAAAAATATAAAACAAAAAAGTGGACACTTTTAGTGATAATGAAACCTGTCAGACCTTACATTAATGTTGTTAATCAACCAGCGATAGATACGACAGCAATGTTAAAACAACATGTGCAGAAAAGCAATTAACATGAATATATATATATATATAGCTACATTCAATATACGTTATATCTAGAAAGCTTCAGAATACACGACGTATTCTTCTGATCAAATAAGCCTATGACACACATTGTGAATACAAACCGACAGCAAACATGAGATGGAATAACATAAAAAAAATCAAATTAATCTAATAAAACAAAACTAAAATTCTACGTTTTCTTTTTCGGATATCCTCAGAAACGTATTCGAGCTTCAAAATTCTTTCTCGCTTTGAAAATACTCGCGCATTCCCTGCTACTAAATTTATTGTTGATTTTCATGAACTTTTAACCAAAGTGTAAAATGCCCTCTGCACGAAGATGCATTTACGGAGAGAGTATTGACAAGTTCTCAAGTAGTTCATTGCTCATTACCATCCTAGAATTTCACCATATTTTGTGACCCTCGGGCGGAATATCCAATCCTAGATATACGCATGTGAATATGAAAGAGGCCTACAATAATGAGTATTTTGTTATCAATCTGGCTTTTTTTTTTAATATTTTGTATTCGAAAATCTGAAAAGATGTGATTCTTTATAAAAAAAAATAAAAATGAGTCGGAAGTGCGTCCAATACAGTGTCAGTACTAAAAAGGAGATTTTGACCTCTTGGCATTCCAATAAAATATGTATGATAGTCAATCTGAACAAAATACAGATCGTCAATACACAGACTGCGTCATTTATAACTTAGTGTATGCTGATCTGTATTTTAATCAGATTGTCATCGGAGGAAATTTGTAGTCAGAATATGAGAATTTACACTATACTGAAATCAATGTTCCTAAATCTACAGACAAACTTAAAAGCATTTCACACATGTATAACTTAACAACGAGATTGAATACGTGTATGAAACATCCATATTATTCCACGTGTATTTGTGGACATAAAAGATATTGTTTTGCCTTTTTCACGGTTTCGTTTCGATTTTCTTTCTTATCAGCAGTTATTATTTGATGTTAGAATATGTATTGTTTCCGTATTAAATTTCGAAAATTATGCAACCTATGTTAGTGACATGCAGCCTTTCACAGATTTTGCAGTTACCTCCCTCTAATCGTTGGCATGTATTGACCAATCGAAGTTGCCCATTAAACACCAAGGCGAAGCCATGTTTGCGTGTTGGAAGCGTGCACTGTGAGATGTAGCCAAGAAGATGACGTTTGCTGTCGCTCCTCTATTATCATGATGCCGCGACATTCATCTTACAATAAAACTGATAACACTGAAGGATAATTTTACTTGTATATTCAATATCTATTTTTCCCTTTCTTGTAACGCGTAAAAATGGCACAGACAGGATCGACTCAAACTACCGGGGTCTTGCCCCCCGAGGTAAGATAATTCGTAAATTTGCCGTTTAAAATGGACGTGTTCTGTTTGCCTATTTTGTTAAATTTGTTTACCTTTGTGATCTCAAGTGTGTTTGAGTTTTCATTTAAATGGAAGAATGCTGAATGTGGTATGAATTCGGAATGGCTGTGGTATACTCCGTTTTTTCTTAACAAGTACAACAGCTTGGCGTAACATAAGACCTGATAGACTGGCTAACGTTATACCCATTGAACATAAACGCTTTGAACATATGCACCTTAAAAGACTGTTGTCCCATTTGTTACCAAAAGGGGTTACTCTTGATCAACTAGTCATTGACTATGCTGCGTGTCGGAGGGGGTCGCGGGAGATAAACCATGAACTTTATCGAGTCCTTGACCGTAATGTTGTGTTATGGGAATAATGTGTATCATCGTAATCATGTGTATGCAAATTAACTCATCTAGACATTCATCTGTGGCTTTCCAAATTTAGGAAATGTTACATGGTTACTGTAGTCCCTCAACTAGATTTATTCTAGAACATCAGATTGAAAGGAGGTATTCACTGAAGTTATTACAATTTGTATAATGAAGTCACTTTATAAGAATCAAATACCGAAACCAACATCTAATGATTTTAGCAAGGTTAATATTTTCCATTAGTGTATAAACAGGTTGGTGAAATCTTGTGTTTGATAGTGCGAGAGGTGTCTGAAACTTTTATAGAATCTCTGGTCCAACATCTTCCCAAATCTAACCCACCAATTATTGAATGTTGCTAAATATAACTGATCAAATGCCTTTCAGAATGATGTATCAATGGATAAATCAACATCCATTACAATATTTTGACAGACCAAATTATGTTCATTGTCTACTGCAGCAAAGATGGCTGTTTCTTCATTGTTTATTTTTTTCAGATGAAAGAGAAACTGGAGACTGATCATTTTATGATTGTTCTGAGTGAAATATGCCTTTTTTGTGACGTTGATTAAAAGTAACACAAGGTTTTTACATAAATGCAATATTAAATTACAGTTACTTGCCACTTAGGCCAGGATATGAGAAAGTACAAACATTTTTATATACCTTTTTATACAGTATGTCATCGTCAACAAAGTCAGATGTGGCAAGAATACAAGTTTCTGTCATTATTATGAATTAATTAATCACAAAATAGAAAACAAGTTTAAAAATGCTTGACAATAGCAGTCTACTGTTTAGTAATATCATATTTAATTATCACACAAAGCTTTCAATTAGGTAGATCAGAGACGTATATAACACATATATTGTGTTATGTACGTCTCTGGGTAGATAAATCTGAACTCTAAATCAAGAGTAAATGTCTATGTGATAAGCCTGTTCATTTGAACATGTAAAATCTCTGAAATACTGCTTTAAATATATCACTTATGCCAAATCATGCATTATTTTCTATAATTTTGTGCTGTTGATCCACAAGAAACTTATTTCAATGAACTTTTGTCCAAAAATGAAAATTTTGAGTTATCCCCCCTGATACTCTAAAGTCTTCGACTTCTGTGCCAAAAGCCACCCATACATCAATCAAATGGGAATTATTTGTATTAATTTTGATTGTTTAAATAATAATTGAGAATTAGAGATAGTATATATTGGAAAAAGTAATAAACTCCTTTTTCTGTTTTGAATTAAATTAATATTAGATATTAACATTTATTACATGAACTTTATTTACAATATGTATGTTGAAAATATGTTAAAAATATATATTACAGATTTGAGGAAAGAAGTCATAAATAATTGTGTCCTAATTTGATAGAAAATATTAAAAATGACAATGTAAATGTGTGATGCATATTCATATCTTTATTAGTTTACAGATTATTGTATTTACTTTGATAGAGACAGTGGACAATTGTGCTTTTGATGTTTTCTCTGTAAAGACTAAATAATATGTATTCTCTTTCTTATACAAAATTTTAGCAACATGGATACATTCCTGACAAATTGAAGAAGGCTGAAAAACGGATAGAGGCCCATCCATATGACACAGAGGCGTGGAGTGTTCTGATCAGGGATGCTCAGGTAGCTACAGTCATTGTCAGAAATAAATACATGCAATGAAATATCTCTGAATTAAATTAAGGAAATATCTCATTTATATGAATAGTCCGTAATCAATTTCAAAATGTTGAAAGTTTGTTGTTTTGATTTGGAAGTGTATTTTAAACATGGCTTAGGATGTTGATTTAGAGTAAATCTTGAATTGAGGTGAAAATAGTTTTGTTTGATAATTACAGATGAAGACCATTGAAGTAGCAAGACAAGTGTATGAGCGACTTGTAACACAATTTGCCAATGCTGGGAAGTACTGGAGGATTTACATAGAACAGGAGGTTATATCAATTTACTTGTAGTCACATGATAGCAGTCTTTTCTCGTTATTCTGTTCTTAAAATCAGTTGAAAAATTGAACCAGAGGATTAAAATGGTCTCTGATCCTTAACGTCTTTGAACTTTTTGTGAAAAAAAATTATATTTTTTCTGAATATAAGAAAGAAAAAATTTGAAGATATCCTTGTGAACAGAAACAAGAAGTCTTTTGACCAGAACAGACTGCATAAATGTTTTTATTCTATTTTTGAATACAGAGTACCAATTTCATCAGTATGTTAAAAGTACCAGAAAAGTATTTATGTAAAATAATATGCAATGTTGTATACTTTGTGTATTGATATAAAGACACAGTAACAACTAGTGATATGCAATAGAAACGCCACAGTAATAACAGTGTTATGACATTAACATCAAATGGTCTTGCAGAAAGATGTAGCATCATGTAGCTGTGATGTTATTTCTGTTGTCATGGTGACATAAAATTTGGAAAAACCAAGCAGAGTTGTCAGCCTTGTTTATCTTGTTCTGTTTTTCCTCTGCGTTTTGTTGTTATTTTACCAGTGAGAGTCCGAGGGTGTGTGCTTGAGTGGACAACAAACAAAACTATGATTATGTCGTCACATTTCATCTAGAACTAACAAGTTTTGTGTGGAACTTAGTGTACTTGACATACCATAAACTTTATTTAGCATTTTAGATAACATAGTTGCAACATATTTTGACACAGAACACATAAAAATTCTCATTTGATCTGTATTAGATATCAACTGTTTGGTACTTTTTGACCCAGTCATCAGATGGTTGACTGGTGAAATCTCCCATTGTAAGTGACCTGTCATCTGTTTATCTTCATTTGTTGTTACAAGTTGCGATAGATGGGCTAGTTATGTTTATTTTTGAGACTGATTAGTAAAAGAAATGGCAGATAGGTTGGATTATTACAGGTATATTGTTGCTATTTCACAGAAATTTCCAGAATACCAGTAGAACCTTTCATATGCAGGTTTTATTAGAAGGTCTTGAGCAATCTCTAGCTGCTTATATAGAAATTAGGGACTCCCTAACAAAATCTAAAATAGCTGACAGGTGGCCATCTTGAATTTTGACATTTAACTATCATTTTTACTATTTCCCTACAACTGCTTGATGGATATTTCTGTATTTCATTAGGAGTTTCCCCTTTGTCTTTATTTGCGTATGAGGAAGACAGATTTTGACACTCTTAATAGTATGTACTTTTTCAAAATCTTTCAGTTTTGGGTCATATTTGAATAATAACAAAAGCTGACAGTGACATTTGAATATTGGTATTGCTAGTTGTGAAATTCACTGTGGTTTCCTTTCATGAATAATGCTACCATACTGTTACTTCACAAGTCTATAAAAGTCTGCTGTCTTTTAAAGTCTTGATACAGATGTCCAAAAAAACTTTGGATCCAACAATATTTCTCCATACATGTAGTTATATCGGAGTCATTTCCATAAGGAAACATTTTAATACAAGACATTGTATTGGTTTATTCATGATTTATTTTTCAAATACCTTTCAGTACACATGACAATTGTAGAATAGCAATGTTCAGCATTGTTTATCTGTCCTTTGTAAACATTGTTTTCAACCAAACTCTCTGAGTGTTGATAAGCCTAACACCATGTTTTTATAAATTTTTGTTCAAAAGCACTTGGAATTAACAAATTTGAAAGTTATTGCTTTGTTTTCTCAATTTAAATTTGCCTTGCAATCTCAGCTCTTGGTTATTAAACTTTTTCTTCAAAAACTTCACAGTTTTTTTAACATATTACAATAAATTTTGTTACCTGAACAGCATTATTTGACAAAACTTGGGGTGGAGTTATTTCCCTATGTGTTAATGTCTGGGTTATGACCGATCTTTTACACAGTTAATAGGCTTAATGGTCATTTTGATTTAATAGTTACCACAGTTATTTGTAAAATAAGAGTTTTCCAATCACATGTAAATCAGTCACATGATCCCGAAAGGATATTCTGATCATTTCCATATCCCATCCCCACAATTTCATACCCATGACTGCCCTTTCTTGATTCATTATGATTACATGTGCAGTTCTAATGGATTTTGAACCATTAAAGACATTGAAAACCTCACCTTAGTGTTCCAAGGTCAAGAGCAATGTTGTGGAATACATTGAACAATGGCAGTATGGCCATTTACAGACCAAACCTCTGGCTCTTACATTTCTATTTTCAATATGAAATCCAGTCAGTGTTACCATTTATTGGTATAAAATTGACAGGACAGGGAGCAGAAAATTTAATGTCTTTCATGTTCCTTTGTACACACATGACTATTGCATTTTACAAATATGAACAAAACAGTATTTTCCCCAATTGCATCTGTAAAAAGTAGTCTTATTTTTATACAGAAATTAACAGCAATGCATCACAAATCATTCATCACCTGTATTTATCCTTACCATTATGAAACTGTGAATAATTGAGTGTGTGTGGTGTCTCTGAAAATCAACACTAACATGAGGATTCTTTATTTCAGCTTTTTAGTCTACTGTTACTACTGTGGCAATTCAGTACGGGTATAACCTTGGTCATTAATCAAAACTTGTTGAAATGTTTCTATTTGTTAGAATTTTATCATGAGATTCATTCTAGAAGAATTTTAGTAATACATTTTGTGTGTATTCTTAAAACCAGTTTTAAAAAATCACATGATTGGTGCATTCTGAGGTAACTATTTTGATCATAAAAGCATATTTTTTTTTCATCTTTCACTTCCTTAATGTAAGAAAATTTCGTGCAATTTTAGGTCCAATGTTTACAATATGCTATATTCTAGAATGAACTCTCAAGATTTTGAGGATTTTTATCAACCAAAATGATCCTTGTTAAATTTGTCCAGGTTAAGTATATAATGGTAAGTAACTAAGTAAAAAATTGGGTTTATAACCTATTTATGCCATTAGTAGATATATATGCTGTGAATGGCTACTTGTCAAAGCAGTAATAAATAATGTTATCTTATATGAAATCTTATTTATTTTTGACTTGAGTTGATGTGTTTTAAACAACATTATAGACTATGTATGGTATGTGTGTGAATTATTGAAGGCTAATGTATCTCAAAGAATTTTTCACGGACATCTGACAGAGTTTTGTTTATAATGTGTATTTCTTGAAAACTGCCTGATATGTATAATCACTGACAACCTCCTGACTTATACTTAGCTTAAGGCCTCAAACTCTCTGACTTGAATTACTGACAACTTTCTGACGGGTAAGGTATGGCCGAAAACCACCTAAGTGTTAATTTATCACCGACAACTTCCTGACTTGTAAAGAGTTGCCAACAAATGTGCATGCATAGCTCCTGAATCTTGGGTAAATTTATTTCATATTCACACATTAAAATAGCACTATCAAGTTTTACACATGAGTCAAGATTAAAAGACAAATGTTACACTTGACACCTTTTGAAAATAAAGCTTGTGTACATAATATCTCGCGAACCTCTCAACAGATGTAGTTCATATTCACATCACTGCATCACACCATCAAATTTTACATGCAGTCTGATTTTGGTGTTCATTGTGTTAATTTGTCAAGGTTAAAAGTCTGAAGATCATCAGGACATCTCCTAAACTTGTCAACAGTATTAGTTCATATTCACATCTTAACATCACACTATCCAATTCTACACATAGTTTGAGTTTAGTGGATATTGATCTAGGTTGAAGGGGCATCAATCATTTAGAATGTTGGCCTATGTAAGCTCATGTGAAGACCTTTCGGGGCTTGTTTCGATGCTGCCAACTGATGGTGGATTGTGTTTTTTGAGAAACAGAAGGGTCTGTGTGGACGTGGTTGTCCTTTGGCAAGGTGCTAATGGCTGTGAATGACATGTGACGGGCCTCCTGTTTGTTGTTCAGTGATAGCAAAACCAATGAGACCTTGCCTTAAAATGACCCTGGCTGTTCAAAGGCCTGAAAATGATAAAAATAAAACCCACGTCCTTCAACCTTGATAATTTTGCTTCTTTGAAATAAATATTTGTGTGCATTATGTTGTTGCAGTGGTGAAATTCTATAGCGGAATAATTTTTGTTGGTCATCCAGGGCTCTCACACCCCATTTTGGGAATGGGGCCCGGGGCCCTTAGAATTGGGAAAAATAATGGTGTTTTCCTTAGAATTGGGAAAACGTCGGGTCTAAATTGGGGAAAAAAAATACTATTTTGCATTGGGAATGGGGCCGAATATCAGTCCCAAATCTGGCAGATCGAGAGCCCTGTCATCACTCAAGGTCTTGTGCTTATCTAAAAGATATTTCATGAACCTCTGAACAGATGCAGATAATTGACAGAACCAGATTACATTTTTGTGATCATAAGTCCAGATAAAGATAATGAGTGAATACTTCATAACTTTTGAATGAAAGTTTTTTTGTCACCTGCAAAGGAAAGTCGCTGAAGCAAATCTAAGTTGTTGTTTTAGCAATAGTAGTCATGCTCATTTCACTTTTAAAGTTTTGTTTTTTGATCTAATGCTAAAAAAGTATATGCCCAAAATTAAGCAAACTTGGTCTAAAGCTTAATCACATAGTGGACACCTCAACACATCCATTGTTTACAAAATATCTTCCAGAAATTATGGTTCTACAACATTGAAATTAAAGGATAAATTTAGTACGTTAATTTTTTTTGTGTATTTTGCATATTTAGGTCATCTGAAACAAAGTCTCAGGGTGATCTATTGTGATCACCTTTTGTGTGTTGTCATGCATTGTAAACTTTCAACATTTTTGACTTCTTCTGGTAAACTTTTGAACCAACTTTTAACGAAAATTTAAAATTATTTGGTCCACAACCCCCAGGAGCCTGAGGAGTGGGGCCAGAAAGGGTCAAATTCATTGAAACTTCAAAATCTTCTGTTCAAATCCCAGGTATGGTAAAATCAAATACTCTTGGATGGAAAGGATTTTATGGTTCGCATTTCCCCTCGGGGAG